TGTGAATCTATGATAAGAAGAGAGGAAAACCAGAAGACAAGAGTCCTAGGGTGCCGGGTAAGGAAAGTGTTTCAAGGAAGGAGTAATAATCGGTGCTAATGCTACAGATATATCAGAAAAGTCAAGGACTCTGAGAATTGTCTATTGGATTTAGCAATATGGGGGCCCTAAAAACCTTGACAATAGCAGTTTTGATGGAATAGTGGGGGCAAGAGCTTAATCAGAGAAGATTCAAGAGAGAAGAGGAGGAGAAGAATTGGGGGCTACAAATATAAAGAAGGTTTCTACAAGGTTTTCTGTAAAGGGGAACAAAAATAAGGTGGTAGCTGGGTAGAGGTTTGTGGGGTGAGGAGAGTTACTTTTTTAAAAACAATTGGAGAAATTACAGCATGTTTGTATGCTAATAGGAATGACTGAGTAGAAAGAGAAAAGTTGATGATGCAGGAGAAAGAAGGGAGGATTGCTCAAGGCATGCCCTTGAGTAGGTCAGAGGGAATAGGATCCAATGAGCAACCCAGTAGTTTGAGATCTCCCTAATGTCACAATACAGCATAATAAGTATTGTATATATGCTAAAGGCACCAGGAAAAAGCTTAGGGAGCCCAACAGAGTGAGCAGTTAACTCTGCCAAAGGGGATTGTAGCATTTGTGATATCACCTAAAATGCTTTGTTATCTGAGGTAAAAATTAGTTTATTTTCAAGCAATGTTGTACACTAACATTCAAGCATAGCAATTTTGTATTAAAATACAGTAATTAGGATATATCATTATATAGCACTTCATCATTGTCTATATTCTTAAAATTGTGTTTTGTGTTCCATTTGCTTACTTGCAGCTGAATATAGCCCATGATTCTTAAAAAGCTGCTTGCCATTAATATCATAATAAAATTCAGACAAAATCCAAAAAATATTTATCTTTTTTTCTGTGTGCCTCTATAAAAATATTTATCTTTTACCTTTACCACATTTATTAGAATACAGTAAGAAATACAGCACAAAATTCCTGCCTCTATGGAGGCACCAATTAAAAAACTCTAGATGTGCAACAGATATTAAAAACCAAATAAAATAATGGTTATATTATGAGGCACTAGCACAGTGGTATCACAAGGCTTATGATAGGATGCCAAATGAACTCTGCAATTAATACATGCTTTATACTTAAAGGAATAAAACATTAAGAAGTGGTCAGCAAAAATTGTTAAATGGGCTCTAATCCTCATTTTCTTGATTATATTCTTTGCTGTTATTATTCTTATCATGAATTAGTCATCTTAACTTTACAACTTCAAAAACCAATATAAGTATTACTATGTAAAGACATGTCTTAAACTTTTCCAGATTACTTTTCAGAGATTTGTGTTTTATTTGTGTACATTTACACAGGAATGGGTCAGATGTATTTAATTTTATTAAACCAATCCATTTGTATTAAAGCCTTACAAAGTCATATGAGTATAAAAATATTTTGCATGTATTAATAATAGTGTATATTTGATTTAAGTCTATAATGCTTATAGTACTCTTACCTTTGGTGTTTTGTTTCACTTGTTTTTTACTAACAGCACTAAAACATTGAATAATAAAGTTATCTTTCCATTTGAACTTTGCTGTCCTGTGAAATTAAAATGCTGCTGTATATACATGTAGTAGCAAACATATTTTCAAGCTGTAATCAATGATCTGTATATTTGGAATTAGAAATAATTTAAGCCATGGTCTATTTTTCAATCTGCCATGGACTGATATTTATACAAGAATGTTACCTTATGTTACTGGTTTAACTGCTTTATTAAGTTTACTTCAATATTTTAGGACAATTAAAAATCAGTACTTATAAGCAACATTATTTGTTCTACCTAAATCAATAATATACTTTATTTTAAAAAATACTTATTTTTATTTGCATTGCTGAATCTTTAATTTTATAACTAATAAAAGCAAAACCTTGATGTTCTCCAAAAGTAAATGTCAGTAAAGCTTTTTCTCTCAATTTTTTTCTAATTTAGTATGTTTTCCTTCAATTGTGCATTAGTAGTATACAGTATAATTCTGCTTAAAAAAAAAAAGTCATCCCCGGAAAAGTCAGTGTTAAAAATCTTCTGCATAATTGTTTCTATGGCTAATTATATAACCAGACATATCAAGGGCTTAATTACATTCTTCAATGACTTAGCTCCATTAGAATTTCAGAGATGACACAAAATACAATGAATACAATTATGTATTTCATATTCTGTGTGTGAAGTATGTTTCTTTTTGTTGTTTTTGTGCATATATGTTTGATTCCAAACAACCAATTTTCAAAAAATATCTAACTAGCTTTTTAATATATATAACATATAGAGCAAGTAAAACAATTAACTGCTTATTTATTGGATTTTCACTTTTCAAAGGATTTTTTGGTGACATGTAAAAACAGTGCTAGAGCTGTTAATTGCTTCAGTTTCAGTGCCCATGCTGAAGTAGAGTTTATTTTTAAAACCAGATCCTAAAGAAATAAATTGTAGATATTTTGAAAATACAGCCTTCATAACATTGAAAATCTGGAGGACTGATTATGCAAAGTGGCGGGAATAGACATAACAAAAGGAGACCTTCCCTCAAACCCTTACCCTACTTTCGATGGGCAGAATATTGACCTGGATCTGTAGATGGCTGTTGTGAGACCTCGGTTCTTCTTAGCTTAAAAGAATTTAAATGAGAGACCCACAGCAAAGGAGATGTAGTATAGAGCAATTTATTGCAAAGGACAAAGAATGTTATGAAAGTTCGGTGCAGAATAGACAGTACACCCTGAGAGAGGATTCAGGGCGAGCTGCTCCTAAGGATGAGACCACCAATACTGGCACTAGGGAGACTCCCTTTATGAGAGTCTTACATAATTATTCATAAAGGAATGGGAAGAGGTGTTGCTAGTAAGCATATTCTTGGTGGTCCTCTGGGTGCACATGCACAGTAGCTGTACATGCTTGTTCATACATTGCATGTCTCATTAGCATCTTAAATCTCTGTCCAGGAGTGTGTTGTTTACTATTATAATGAGCAAAGGGTCAGTCTGAGGACAGGTGTAATCAAAATGCATGTGCTCCCTGCAGGGGAAATTCCCTACTGTAGATAGCTGTGTTTGAATGAGCTGGACTACAGTGTGAATGCTGGGGCTTATCGTGTTAACTGTATGGTCGTCGTGTGAGGACATGTTTACTTCCTTGACTACCTATCCTGCCTCAGATCATCTCACTCAAATTCCCTCTGTGTAAAAGAGCAGAGATATACTGATGGAGAATTTGGAATATTAGGTGATCATTTACAAAGTTGTTTGCATACCTTAAAAGGAAGCCATTAAATACTACATTTTTGGCTCATTAATAATTTTATCATGTCTAGTTAATCTTTTAAAAGAGCTTAGCAAAACAGACTAAACTGTATCAGTGTTAACAATAAGAAGCCATATGATTGATACATTTTCCTTAAGAACAGAATTAGAATTCTCCTAACAGAATTTTTTAAAACATATTGAATGATTATAATAATCATAAAATTTAGCTGGACAAGGAGGGAAGTTTCAGGGACAGAAGGCGACTGATAGATACTGAAAAGTAGTATGATAGGTATTAATACATTAAAGGAGGAAGAATTGTTGGACTTGGAGTACTGTAGGTAGTGTGCTAGAAATACAAAAGGTGGTAGTTGGTAAGTTGGATATTTAAAGGGATTGCAGCCTTTGCTGATGAGACTAAGCATATGACCATAGGAATGAGTGTGAGAGAGAACCTCAAGAAACTGAAAGACCAGACTCTCAGAGGGTGAATGTTGAAGTCACCAAGAATTATGACAGAAGTAAGTGTGAGTGCCTGGGTTTGAATCCTGATACTATGTACTAAACAGGTATATGTCCTTGGGCAAGTTATATAACGTTAGTTTCCTCATCAGTTAAAATGAGGATAATGATAGTATATTTCTCTGAATTATCAAGAGTAAACAATTTAATCCTTATAAAACTGTTACTATGTGCTATATGGCAAATGACATATAAATGTTTGTACTATTATCATAATCATAATAACCATTATTATTTGTACGATCCAGTCCTGTGTGAGTCTCTGCTTTTCATTCACTAGAAATTCAGTAAGCAACTATTTCATGCCAGGCATTGTGCTAGGTATCCTGTTAAAACTTTTGAATTATTTTCTTTGGCTGTTTTAGGCTTCAGGAATTTCAAGTGGAACAGAAATAATATACTGCAGCCTCACCAAAATAAAAGTTATTATTGAAGTATTTGCCATGAGTTCTCCTTGCTGAAGTGAAATGCTGTTTAGTAAGGATACAGACCCAGGGGGAAATGAGACAAACCAAAGCTGTGATTACTTGGATCTATATACTGGACCGGCTTACTGTAGCAAAAGAGATGCTTAGCAGCAGACTCAGCTATAGGACATGAAAGAGAATCTAACCATATTTTTGAGACATAGTGGTGTCCAAAATGTATGGTGATAGGAGATAGGAAGCAGCAAAGATATAAAGTTATTCTTGTGGTGTTCCAACATGAAACAGTGGGTTAATGACTGGTAGTCAGGTTAAACACAGAAAGCTACCATCTTGGAGGTTGGCTATCAAGATATAGACACTTGGGCACTAGGAAATAAGATAGAGATCCAGTTACTGAGTAAAATCACTTATATGATTATCTTCTTTGTAAAAAAAAACAAAAAAACAAAAAAAAAAACTATACCCTTAAAGTCTGGGGTTCCTAAGAGAGCTAACCTAGGCTATTAATTATTATTTATAAAAAGTACCTTAAGTTTGCTTTATCACCTGGCCAATAGGCAGTTTCACCTTCTGGGTCAAAACACATTTTCTCCATCTACACAAATGCCAACCATAATGTTGCATAAGAGTGAGTGTGTTTGGTAGACCTTAGCTAAAAATCAGTGTAAGTTTGAGTAGGCATGGGGAAGAAAAACAATGTGATGTGAACTTTGTTCTCTGTGTTTAGGCAAGCTACGACCTATATCTATGCCAGTGGAATATAATTGGGTGGGGGACTATGAAGATCCAAATAAGATGAAGAGAGATAGTAGAAGAGGTAAGTGTTCTAGAATTTCAGTGTAGGCTGGGTTGTTTGAACAATAAGCAAATTTAAATGTTCTATAAATAGATTGTTATGGCTTCAGTGGAAAACTTATTCTATCATTGACTTTATTATGCAACAAAACCAAGTAAGACCAACATTGGACTATCTTGACCCATTATTAAACAGATATTGTCTCTGAATGCCTACTAAGGGATTCCAGGTACATAAGTACGGTGTTAAAAGTAAATATCTGATTGTTACTTGAAAGTTAATATTTGAAACACAAGGTCGGAAGTGTGAAACTGCATAAAATAGGTTCAGTGAATAGGAAGAGTTTATCATCAGTCCTCATCAGTCTGCAATGCAACCTCACCAATTTTGTATGGAATCGACCTAAAAATGAGCATTGAAGCACATGGGTTAAAAACTAATGGAAACCGGGCCAGTGACTTCTAACAAAAACCATGTAGAAATAGAAAAAAAAAAAAAAAAAAACCCTTGCTTTTTTTTTCCTGTTCTGTTTGCTGTTCAGAGTTATCTTCTTACATGGGGGTGGGCTACTCTTGAAGGATCTACCAAAAGTAAGTTTTTATGTTCACTTATCCTGCTATAGAGATAAGCAATAGAAAGCAACTGAAAGTTTCCCTACTAAATAGGATTTGATCAAGTGTGGGTATGGTGGGTCCAGTGAGTCATGCTGCTACTTCCACTTTCTGCAGTAGAGAGCCGTAAGGTCATAGGTGGAAAATAAAACAAATCAAAACAAAAAACTATTCATAGAATGTAAGTTCACTAAGCTTCCTTCATCATATGTTTGACCAGTTTTCTTGTTACTTCTAGCCAGTTTACAGAATTTGTTTTATTACTGCACAGATCCGCAGACCATATGGAAAAGCAAGCATGAATATCTGGTTCATTAGTCTTCTTAATACTTGTTTTATGGAGTGAGCATTTCTGAAAATGTTGATAAATACAGAAACATTGACAGATTCCTTTATATCTGTGTATTCACTCCATTTTCCAATCTTCAATTTCTAATCTCATTTGTTCTATAGAATAAATCAAGAAAAATACAAAAGAGAAATGCTTATCACATGCTATCTCAGAGTCACTGTTTTGAGACTTCATATTTTAGTGACTTTTGTTGGTGGGGAGGGGGACCATGTGAAGTACTAAGTGCTGACTACCAATCTAAGCATAGAATTCCTGAACGAAATTTCCTGACTATTGGTTCTCAGTGTGGGCCTCAACTTCTCCAAGCATGCTACCTTGCATACCACAGGCCGGTGTTTGTTATCAGGCTTTGGCAAAATCCCCATGTGGGAGCTTGTTACAAATTTTATAAGCCACACACCTAGAACTTCTGATTCAAGCTCCAGAGATGATTCTAATGTAGTTGGTTCAAAGCTAAAACTTGGAGAAATAATCTATCGACTGTCTACTTTTAATTGTCTTATCATACCAAATAATTAAGATATACCATATTTCACTACATATTTTATAAATTAAATCAAGTTAAAGTTCTGAAATAAAATATATTAGGTTGGGGCAAAAGTAATTGCGGTTCTTGCGATTAAAAGGGACGGGAAAACCGCAGTTATTTTTGTGCCAACCTAATAATAGCACAATTGAGAAAGAATGGTAAATTTGGTGTATTTGTGTATTTACATTGGTGTATTTATCTCTTTTTATATAGAAAACTCTCTACTTCGGTATATGAGCAATGAAAAGATTGCTCAAGAAGAATACATGTTTCAGAGAAACAGCAAAAAGGACACAGGGAAGAAGTCAAAAAAGAAGGGTGATAAGAGTAATAGCCCAACTCACTATTCATTGCTACCTAGTTTACAAATGGATGCACTGAGACAAGACATCATGGGCACTCCTGTGCCAGAGACCACACTATACCATGTAAGTAAAATTTCAAAGACTCTTTGATACAGTTTTTGTTGAGAGACTGGCAAGTGACTCTTTTGGGTAAAGTCTAGGTTATTTTTATCCTTTTACTAGATTTTCACAAAAGAGCCTAACTTTAAAGTTTATACCCTTAAAAATTGATGGGTAATTGATTATTTTCCTAAGTTTATGTGTTCAATGAGTCCATAGTTACAGCAAGTTGGATTTTTAATGGCATAACTTAATATGCACAAAATTGATGGAGAACAATAATAAATAGCTGATTAATCATCAGTGTGATACTATGCAATGCACAGATAGCTGCAAAATTCAACATTAAAGATACAGTTTTAATATAGTCATGATTCCATTTGAAAAATGAGCATCTATTATTTGCTAGACATAGAGAGGAGGGCTAGAGGTAAAATGGGAAGACATGACACACCATTATATGGGGAGAAAGACATGCTGAGAGTCCCAGTATAACTTAACTGTTGTAATGGGTGGGTGCAGAAAGTAGAAGATGAACACAGGAGAAATAGAGCCTTAGTCTTTAGGGGAAGTGAGAAAAGGCTTCAGAGTGGGGAGCATTTGAATGAAGAATAAAATATAAGTAGCAGTATTTTAGTGCGAAGGCATATGCAGGTACACTAAAAATGTGTAAGAATGTGGCACATTCCAAGGATTTCGTGTGGCTTATAATTGCTGGTTTATTAACAATTGGAGGAAGTGGCATGAGGAAGGGGTAGTAGATGGGCCTGGAGACACAGGTAAAGGTTAGATCAGGAATTGTATGATAAAGTACTTAGGTTCTTTCCTGCAGTAATAAAGAGCTATTGAATAATTTTGAACTGGGAACTTGCATGATCAAATCGGCCTGTTGGATCTCTCTAGTGCAGAGCATCATTTGAGAGATCAAAAGCAGGGCCATTAAGTCCAGGCCATATGGATGATGAGAAACTAGGATAATGGCCATGTGGAAGCTGAGAATCATGTCAGCAAGAACATTCAATCCACGAAATTACGCATTTTAAACCATTTTGGTTAAAAGGAGTTTGTTGTGTCACTGGAACTATAGCTTCTTACTAGGAGCCCTTGAAAAACATGGACTGCAAGTTTTTAAGTAATTTGAATTACTGTGCTTAATGCTTAAAATATCAAAAAAAATTTAATCTGCTTCTGCTGTAGAAGGTATACCATCTAGGCATTCAAAATGTGAAAGATTTAATAACTTACAATTGAGTTGTTTCTCTGAGCAAATCTCTTAAATCATCTACTTATTCTATAGCTCTTTCATAAAACTAGAGTGTAGAAAAATGTTTTTATTTGGACTGTAGTGTCATTAGCACTCCTAGGTACCTCATTCTTTATCCTCCCTTCTCCCCAGTTACATACTCTCAAGTCTCTTTCTAAGACACTAGTGCCTGTGTCAGAATCTGCTCCATTGAATGACTGATCTATTGAATTATTATTTTTTTCCCTAGACATTCAGAGTCAGCCTGAAATCAGCACTCTTAGTTGTTTGAAAGGGGACCACTTTTGTTATTACCACTATTCAGAAGAGCTGTATGAGCACTGAGCTTCTTCTAGAATCTGGTGTTCCAGTCATAAGTAATACCCTGAACAAAAGTTTGAAGATGAGGGACAGATGGCCTATTCGAGAGGGTAGTTGGTAGTGAGAGATGAACCTAGAGAAGGAAGAAGAGACCATCACTTTGACTCAGAGTGTACAAATTATTAAAAATTTGGATTTATCCTGAGAGTAGTGAGCCATTGAAGGCACATTTAAATACTCAGCCTGTTCCAGTCTGTCATGCGTATCCTGACAGACGTTACACTGTGTGGGGAAGGAAAGTAGTTAAGTCTTGTGAATTATGAGGAATTAAATTAGGAAAGACAGTAAAAGGTGAGCCAAACTGGTAATCAGGAATATTGCGAATATTTTTGAGGAGTATAAATTGTTACCACCTCTCTGAAGGACATTATTTAGTTATGTATATCAAGAATCTGGTCTACTAACTTCACCTCTAGAAATTTATTCTAAGAGAGAAATCAGAGTCCACTTTTGCCTCCTGTTTTTATTGTATGTCTTGAATCTGTAACATGGTATTTCCCAGATAGATGACATCTATCTCAACTAATTTTTGACAGAGGACCAGGATAGAGTAAGGAATATTGTTAACTTTGGGGGAGATCTTCCCCTGTAATGCTGATACACCAATTCCAGAGTAGAAGGCTGGGTACTTCCTAACTCATTTCTTAGGTTTAGAAGAAGAAAATATCGCTAACCCCCAAGTGCATGTTGGATATCTATAACCAATGTTCTAAAAGAGAGAACTCTAATCCGTGGGGTTTTTACTAGGCTCTTGAGTTCCCTTGAGGATCTCACCTTGCACTTATTTAGTGCTTTCACAGTTAGCAAGGGAGTTTCCACATTTAATAAGTCTTTTGAACTTCACAACAACCCAATGTGCAAATAACAAAACCCAAACTCAGAAATGATTTACAAAAGCTGTGTTGCAAAAAAAATGTAAGTACTATAGTCAGGACTAGAACCCAAATCACCTACTCTAGGGGTCTTTCCTCACTCTATCCTATTGCTTCGTGCATGGTACACATGCCATATACAGAGGAATTTGTGCTTTAATGAATAAATGAGTGCATTTTGAAAAGCTTGACTTGAAAAAACATGTGTCCTCATATTTTGTTGTTAATAATGTTTTCAGTGCCTGGATTGATTTCTATCCAAAATTGTATTTTACTTTATGTTACTATTTATTAAGTTAGGGGAAACATACTGAGCTGCTGCTGTTATAAAACACAAATAGTTATTTAGCTTGATCTATTGCTGGGACAACAGAATATTATAGTTAACAATGCTTGGACCTTGGAGACAAAACAACATATACTTAAATAATAACTTTTTATATTTCACAGGAATTTCTGTTTTATTTTTACCTGTTTATATATGTTTATTTAAAAATGAAAGGCTTTTTTCTTATGGTAAATTTTCCTGAAAACACAATGTCAGTATCAATCTGTAATCTAACCGCTTTCATGATGAACCACTGATCTTCATTTTTGCCAGTTGCTCTTTTGGATAACATGGCCATGTTTAATGGAATAGGACTTAAGTGGAAGAGGACTATGAAGGTTAAGTATTGCGTTTCATGGGCTCCTATCTCTGCTGTAATACTAGCTCTATGTAATCTAAAGATTTTGAGTTAAAAGTTAGAGAAAATTTAGTATGAATTTAATAGCAAGATAATATCATCATCAAATCCCCTTAAACAGCAAAGTAAAGGGGTGTGTGCATGCATGCATATAGTATGCCTTATAAGCACACCTAGAGTATAATCTTCACTGTTCTGTTGTGGAAAACAGCCCAGTGAAAATACACAAAGCAAGACAAATATTGTTTGGCTTCAGGGTTCAACTCATTATCTTATGAAGATTTAGAAGTGTATGGAATTATAAAATATGTGTTTTATTAATTCCACATATCTGATATTCTAGTTTATATATATTTTTCTTAAATTTATTTAAAAGGAAAGTATTCACAGTGCTGTAGCTACCCTAGTCATTGACCAGCTCTTTGCCACCACTTTCCTTTTCAACATGCTGTTCCTGCTACGGAGAATGCTTTTATCTCTTTTTTCTCCCAAGAATTCCTGCCTATCTAAACCTGAAATCACAAGGAGATCTTCCCTGACCACTAGCCTCTGAAATAAATCAGTTCTCCTATTTTCTGTTATCATCCAGTAGTTTTTCTTCAAAACCTTTGTTAGGATTTTTATTGATATATTTATGTGAACATCTGCTTAGTGTCTTTCTCTCCTGTACATGGTAGGACAGGTATGCCCATGTTCATGATGATAAGCAGGGACAATTTCTCCATTTTGTTCAGTACTATATTTCAGCACCTAGTACAAATGTAGTACCTTATAAGCACTCAATAAAAATGGTATGAGTAAGTGAATTAATGAGTGAGTGAGTAAATTTGACAGGAACTTCAGTGACTTTCTCAGTGTCTTCAACCTGCAAATAAAGCCCCCTCCATCTCCTAAGCCAACCCCACAGGGGCCAACAGTGCAACAGGGTTAGCTGCCTCACATTCCCTACCCTACCTCCTTCACTCCAGCTGAAAACTTCAGTTCCAGCTAATTCTTGCTTGCTTCCTTTCCCTGCCATCTCATTACAAAGGTCCCAATATGCCCATCAGCCAAGCATGTTATGACATTTTTCAAAAGAGCATAACTTTATTTTACCTACTTACTGATTCTGCCTGAAAATGTGGAAGCTGTTAGCTGCCAAAACCCTCATCTAACCTGAGAGTACATGAAGAAAAGGCAGACAGAAGTTTGTGTGGGGTGTGTGTGTGTGTGTGTGTGTGTGTGTGTGTGTGAAATTCAGATTTGGTAAGAAAAGTCTTTAAAGAATAGCTGAATTATTCTAAATCTCATCTTTAAATCTTGTGTGACTTATTTTTCCCCAAAATAATGTGCATATGACAACTTGCTCTCACGTTAAAGCTGCTAAACTAAATTCATATACAAAATAATTACTTAGGCCGAGCATGGTGGCTCATGCCTGTAATCCCAGCACTTTGGGAGGCCAAGGCGGGTGGATTGCCTGAGCTCAGGAGTTTGAGACCAACCTGGACAACATGGCAAAACCCCATCTCTACAAAAAATACAAAAATTAGCTGGATGTGGTAGCATGCACCTATAGTCCCAGTGACTTGGGGGACTAAGGCAAGAGAATCGCTGGAGCCTGGAAGGTCTAGGCTACAGTGAGCCATGTTTGCACCACTGCACTCCAGCCTGGGTTGCAGAGTGAGACACTGTCTCCAAAAATAGTAGTGATAATAATAATAGTCATTTATTTTAAGTCTACATGCCTGAGATGCCAGAACAAGTAAAATTGGATTATAGATTTAAGCAGTATGTAGGTATACTTTCATAAACTGAATATTGATGTAATTTTGGATGATTAAAAACAGACTTTTAGTATGT